TGCCTATGTTTATAGCAGCACAATTTGAGATAGCCAAATCTTGGAAACAACCAAGATGACCATCACCTGAGGAATGGTTGAAAAATATGTGGTATTTTTACACAATGGAGTATTATTCAGCTATTAAGAATGATAAACTCAAAGCTTTTATATTGAAGTGGATGCCACTTGAAGATATACTCATAAGTGAAATAAACCAGACACACATGTGTAAATATCTGTATAGTTTCCCTAGTATACGAACTCCAAAGAAGAAATGCAAATAGAAAGATATAATACAAGTAATAGGAAAGCAGGATCATGAGAACTAATTGATCAAGAGAGGGAAAAGAGAAGAGCTAGAAAACATGACAATGTCAAGCCAAACAGTTATATGAAGAAGATGGGCAAGGCAATGATCCTGAGAATCTCCAGAAGATTTTTGAATCTAGCAATTAATTGGAAAGATTCTCACCCTGACTAACTATATATACTGATACCTGTGTAGTAAGTGCACTGAAGATGGTAATCTGTAATAGTAGTTTCATGCTTGCGGTGCCTGTCATTCTGGTCTTCTGAATACGGGCTGCTTGTCATGACATGCCAGTTGCTGCTGTGCTGTCTCTCAGGTAGATGGTTGTTCCATAATAAGGGGGTGGTTAATGAAGGCAAGAGACAGGAAAAGGAATATTGTGGGACTGTCCTGCTTCAAGGTTGTATATGGTTAAATTTTTGGACTTATGTGTAAACATAAGAAGTATATAATTCCTTATGCCTATTTTTAAAATATATTCTAATTTTTAAATGTTTTTTCATCATATTCTTTAGGGACTTAAAGTTCAACATATCAATACTTGATGAAAAATACCTGTTCAGTGTTATGCCTAAGTTGTTTGATATTCAGACAGATAGTGAAGATAAGCTTAACAGCTTAGGTTGTATGGTAATAACAATAAGCTTGTCTTCTGGAGAGTTAACAACCTAAGTTTGTAGACAAAAATTAGAGAAAAAGGAAGGCTGCAAGAAAAGCCAACATTTTGGCCCTAGCCTTCCAAGGTGAATTAAGACTCAGGACATATGAGAACTTGTACTGTAATATCATGTAACTAGGTAGTGTCTCAAATTTTCTCATCAAGGAGATTATGGGGCCAAAGAGGAAAGTCATCGATGATGTACAGTGCGCCTAAGGAGAGTCACATGGAGAGAAAACATTCTCTCAGGCTTTCACAGGGAGCACATTGGCCAAGCAATGGCCATGACTCATCCACATGGCTGACACTGACAAAGGATCTTTAATCTGAGGTACAGGATCTCAGGATAAATCCTGAGGGGATTTCACTGACCTTATCAGATCCAAAAGCTACAACTCTTGTTGCATAGGTCCTGCTTTACCTTGGTCTTAACCATCCAGCAGAAAAGTATAAAAATGAAATATAAGAAGTAAAGTCATGCTGTTATGTTGAGCTGTAGGGGACTCAGGTCAACAATTTCTGACATTGCCAGTGAAGCGGAAGACCCAATACTATTATGGGCTACTGGACTCTTTTAGAATATTTTGCTGAGTTTACACACCTATAATATTCAAATAACGGAACTTAACCAAAAAAGGGGATACAGATGAATGTCCATTTTGTATGTGTGTATTCAAAGTGGTTAGGATAGATATATAGTTACATTCTCTTAATGGATAGAGGGATTTGTTTGAATGGTGTTTGTAAATAGGATATCATGTCCCCATCTTGTAGTAATTAACCTCTAGGAACAATGTATGTAATGTGTTAATTATTGAAACTGTCCTACCAATTTGGTTTGAAAAAAAATCAGTTGGAGGGCAGAACAAGCAGGAATAAAGCAAAGATAGAAACTTGATGAGAGGCTACAGAGGAAAAACAATAAGAGACAATCATGTTCATGGAAAGGGCATATGGCAGCAGAGAACCCCACTCAAGTTAGTGGAGCACTGGCTCTGGAACACTCAAAGGAATTTAAAATTGTTCAAGAGAGGTAAGGAAAATCTTCCAAAAGTGGAGAAAAACATGAGGTAACAAGAGTCAAAGGTGCCTGTTCTGATCTACTAGATAGATCCTACCCTAGTTCATCTCAAAATATATTCTCAGGAAAAACAAGAGAATGTGCTCAAGGCAAGGAGGGCCTGGGCTACCTTTCCTGAGAGCACATTTCTCAGCCAACAGCTCCAAGCCAGGTGGCAGGACAGTACAGGGACGTGCACTGCAGCGAAGGGGAAACAGCAACCAGCAATCTGGTGCCAGGAAGGTCTATGATTCAGAAATGAATGGATAAAGACAGCCCCTGAGAAATAAATGCTGAGAGAATGTGTTTTTAATTCATTTGTACTAAGAAACATTTGAGTGAGATCAGACAGGCTAAGCTTAGTACCAAGTTGTATTTCTCATTTGAGTGACTTAATTACAGAGAGCAAAGAAAAGATGGATATTTTCTTCTACGTTCTTTAGTATTATTTGGCTTTTCTTTTTATAATTCCTTGAGGTTGATGACCAGTGCTTCATTTCCAGCCTTTTATCTAGTCAACTAAATTTGTATTTTTGATAACACTGGCATTATTGACAAACCTGTACCAGAAAAGTTTTTTTAAAAAATGAAGCAAGCATAAACAGCCAATGTCTATCTGCAGTGAAAAAGAGGACATTATACATTCTGAGACAATAAAAAGAAAATAAGAAAACACTCCTTTAAAACTTTATGTCCATAAATTTAACAGGATAAAACACAACTATATTATATTTTCATGCAATGCAATAAATTTGAAAATACAATTAAAATGGATGAATCTTAAATGCATAATACTGAGAACAACGAAAAATTCAAATGAAAACTTATTTTTAAAAGAGGCCAATAGGGCCTGGGATATAGCTCAGTGGTCTAAGTGCCTGTTGGAAAGCTCAGGGACCTGGGTTCAATCCCAGGCACCACATGTCTCACCAGTCCAGCCCAGATATGCCCAGTCTGACACTGAAACCAAGTGTGTAAGCACATGCTTGTAATTCCAGGCGGGAGAGGCTGAAACAGGACGAGCACTATGAGTCCAACCTGTATAGTGAGATCTAGATACATAACTTTTTTTAAAGAAAGAGGTGGACAAAAGGAGACATGGTGATAGGCCTTTTGTATGGGGCATTGTCCAGGAAAGCAAGGGTTAGGAGAGAAGGACAAAGGAAGATTAAGTCATGCCATATACAGCTACTAAACACTCAAAACAATTGTGAACATCATATCTTAAATATGAGCAAGAATAGTAAGAACAGTAGGAATGAAAATTGGGAAAGGGGAGTTAGAGACAAAGAGAGGCAGCTAGTGGAAGGGACAGAAGGAAACATAGAGTCAGGCTGTGCTAAGTGCACACCCCTACTCCTCAGGAGGAATAGAAATTTCATGGACTGCAAGCATGTGCTAATAGTTACAATTGGATTTTTAAGTAAAATATATTAAAGTGAATTCTTCACATTGAGAGCAATAATGGTTAATAAAAATAGACTGATAATCTCTGTTTTGACTAATTATACAGACAATTTAATCATGATGTAATGTACACAGGTTGCAAACACTCTTCATGTTGTTAGCAGGAGAACTGAAGAAAAACTTAAAACAATCATAACACCGTAGTGTGTTAGATATAGAAAATGTGATGTAAAGGACTGAAAGATCTCACTGTAAAGACACAACAAATATTCGATGACGAAGACCTGTGTAACTCCAACTGCACATCTCAGAGTGCATACATGTGCATATGTGCCTGAGTGCCTCTTGCATATACAAAATCTTTGTTTTCATTCATCAGCGTGAAGCACATTTAATTGAGATGTCTCCACATTGGTCCCTACAGAGAGTTTAATGGGTTCTTCCCCAAGAGACTGATGAGGAACCATTGCTGTTCTCAGGGGAAATCTCCAGAGATCAGAGCCTCTGTAATCATCGCTAAAGCTGCAGAAAGCAGTGGGTGGAATCCCGGTGGGACGGCAGCCTACAGCAGTGTAGAAGGGACACGCAGGTCGCGCCCTTTGCTGTTGGACATCACTGACCCATCTGAGAGAGAGCCACAGTCCCTTCCTGCAGGAGGGCTTCTGACCTGAGGACTGGCTGCATGCCTCAGGATGGCCCAGGAAATTCCTCGAAGGTAAGTTTCTCTGAGGGACTTTAAAATAATCAGCTCCTTGAGAAACAAAGTAGAGTCCTTTGATTGTTTGCCACCCATTCTTTGAGCTTTGTGAGACGAGTAATCACAACACACTTGTGTCCTAGCAAGAAGTTCATTTTTCCATGGGCATGGGATGAAATTATGGGGCACGTTGGAAAGTCCTTTTTCCACTTTTGCCATGGTGACTGTGAGATTTTAGTGAAACATGACTTGAGATAGCACTATTTTAAATTTCTTTAAATATGTATGTATGTATGTATGTATGTATGTATGTATGCATTTATTTATTTATTTATTTGGTACAGAGTCTCACTACAGAGTTCGGACTCGTAGTGACTCTCCTGTCTCAGCCTCCCAAAGTCCTGGGATTACATTCATGCGCCACCCACCGTGCGGCCCAGTTTCAGGGCCTGTGTAGCATGGGCTTCCGGGGCCAGCCTTGCATGCAGTACCAGGTATCGAACCGGGTCTTTGCCAGGCAGGCAATTACAGCAGAGCGCTCTTCCCAACCCCTCAAAGCACTAATCTGTACTAACTTGTTTCTCACATAATGAACTGGGAACTTCCATAATATGATAATCAGAACTGAATGCAATGACTTCATGGGGGCAGAACTGTGAATTAATTTACCAAAGATTAAGAAAAGGTATGATAGTGAGAATTATTGTTGGTAAATATCCTCAAAAATTGCAATTTAGAGACATTTAAAATACCATCACTACACGATAATATTTTAATATTCAAATAAAATATATAAAACCTACAACTTGCTTCTAAAGCACACTTGTGAACTGCACATAGCCCAGAGTCCAGCTGGTTTCAATGCCTGGTGTCTGTGAATTTACTCTATGATGACAGTCATGAAGGAGGTAGTGAGTGTCGCTTGGGAGACCCTGTGCCCTTGGGTTGCTGTACCTGCTGTTCTGCCTCCCAGAGTTCCCTACGCCAGGAAGCATGCTGCCCCCGCGATCGCACCACCATCTGAGCACGCAGATGAGCTTGGATGGCGGGACGCAGACCCACACTCGACCTGACCCAAAGCCGGTGCTGCCTCGACACCGTGGCCAGCGAGCACAGACGGGCTGGTGGCACCAATCTTGGGACAGCGAGGAGAGCCTGTGAGCTTCGCTCAGAACGTGTGGATTCATGGAAAGATTTTGGCATTAAAGAAACGATCATTTTTTTCCTATTACGGCTTTTTTGCTTAGTTTTAGTCCAGATGAAGTTAACAAATAGATGATAAGTCACTTCCCTATGAAGTCTAGAACACTGAGCTGGAAAGAGAGGAGCCAATGAGTAACTGCGCGTTCAGTCATATTCATTTTGACTCCAGTTCACTTAAGGCCCTTAGCATTCCTGGTTGCACTGCTTAGGGTCCAGGTTAACACAGACAGAGTGAACACTGCCACTCAGCCTCATGCAAATATGAGTGAGTCGCAGCACTTGCTGAGATCATGATTTAATAACAGAGCAAAGCCACAGCGTTCAGGAAGGGAGACAGTGAACACTCACCTAACTCACCTGCTGGAGTTCATGATAGGAGCAACTTGGAAATACCAGTTTTTCATGCCTTTGAGATGCTGGTGCGTACATCCAAAAGTCATATTCATGAAGTAAATAAACTGTGTATTTATTTCCTAGGTTAAAATTGTTGAATTACATTGATGACATACTAAAGTATACAAGACTCAAAAGCATGAAAATGTGCTCAAAATTAATACAATCATCTTGCTTCACAAAATAATGACCTATGTGGAATTCAAAGTGTAAAATAACTACAATAACAGAGTATATATGACTTTACATTTTCTGATTTCAGTTCAGTTGCTATGCTTCAGGTCTTTTTTGCTCTTTGCTTCAGAGCATGTAGCCATTCTGGACAGTAGCGATGGAGAACAGGACGGAGGTGGCAGCCTTCCTCCTGCTGGGCCTGACCGACGACCCCCACCTGCAGCTGCCCCTCTTCCTCGCCTTCCTGCTCATCTACGCCATCACTGTGCTTGGGAACCTGGGCTTGGTCCTGCTGATCCTGCTGGACCCGCGTCTGCACAGCCCCATGTACTTCTTCCTTGGGAACCTGGCGCTGGTGGACTTCTGCTCCTCCTCGGTTGTCACTCCCACAGTCATGACTGGGCTGCTTACAGGAAACAAGGTCATTTCCTACAATGCCTGTGCTGCTCAGATGTTTCTGTTTTCACTCCTCATTTGCTCAGAAAATTATCTCATGGCTGCCATGGCCTTTGACCGCTATGCGGCAGTGTGCAGACCCCTGCACTACACCACCACCATGACCACGAGTGTGTGCGTAGGACTGGTCTCAGGCTGCTATGCCTGCTCCTTCCTGAATGCCTGCATCCAAACTGGGGACTTATTCAGTCTCTCCTTCTGTATGTCCAATTTAGTCCATCATTTTTTCTGTGATATGCCAGCACTCATGGCTCTGTCCTGCTCTGATAAGCATATTACTGAGCTGGTTCTTGTTTATCTCGTGAGCTTCCATATCTTTTTTGCCATGTTTGTTATTTCAACATCCTACGTCTTCATTTTTGTCACCATCCTGAGGATGCACTCGGCTGTAGGACATCGCAAGGCTCTGTCCACCTGTGCCTCCCACTTCACTGCCGTCTCCATCTTCTACGGCACTAATATCTTCATGTACTTACGGCCCACCGCCAGTCATTCCATGGACCATGATAAAATCTCCTCTGTGTTCTACACTATCATCATCCCCATGCTCAATCCCGTGGTCTACAGCCTGAGGAACAAAGAGGTCAAGAACGCGTTCTTAAAAGTCAAGCATATGTTTATCTTGTCAAAGCCAAGTAAGATATAGAATTTTGATTGTACCTTTATAGATGCTCATGCCTGGAATTTTTCAGTGGTCTTTGACAAGTAGTGAGTTACATTTTGAAGTGCAATTGTGCTGAATTTCTGGAGTCTTGATTACTATTATATGTCTCGGTGTGGTTTTAATTGGGTTGATGTTATTTGGAGTTCTATATGCCTTGGTTAGCTGAACAATCTTGGTCAGATTGTTTCCCCATATTTTGGAAGTTTTCTGCCATTACTTCTGCTCATATTCTTTTAATATGGTTTGTGTTGACTCCTTCTTTCTCACTGATGCCAATTAGTCTTATGTTGTTCATCTTGGCATCGTCTTGCAGATGTTGAGTTATTTTTTCCTGCATCCTTGTGTTTAGCAGATCTTTCCTTACCTTTTCACTAGCTACAGTGGTATCTTCAAGGTCTGAGAGTCTATCTTCACTTCCACTCAGATAGTTTTGCCAACTTTTAATTGAGTTTTTAATCTCTTGAATGTGTCTTTGATTCTGCTTCATGTGGTCTATTTCGTTTCTATGTTGTTCATTCAAGGATTCCATCATTTTTTGTTCTCTATTTTTTTCTCAGTTTCTTCTTTCATCATAGTTATCATTTGTTTTTTTTTTACTTCAGAGATTATTTCTGATATGATTTCATCTATGCCTTTCTGGAGTTGTTTCTTTACTCCAGACACTATTATTTCAGAGATTTCCAGAGTGTGATTTCCAATTTCTTCCATGTTAATGCCTCCTGCATTTGTTCTGGGTAGGCTCGGGGCCTGAGAATGCATTTTGCTCCTTCTTTTTGTCATTTTGTTTAGCACAGTCCTCTGATCTTTGATGTAGAGCTTTTGTTCAGTTATTATCTAAGAACCTACTGATATTATTGCTCAAGAGAGTTCACATGGTTAAGGCAGTTACAGTTTTCTATTTACAGTACAACAATTAGCAACACTCTGATAATATTTAGCAATTGACAAACTTTTGTATATAATGGGTTTATATTTTAAATGATAAGATCAAACACTATGATTGCATAGGTAATCAAATATTAAACTAGGAATATGTATTTAAATTAGTTCCCCTAAATTCTGTCTGGTTACCTCCCCTCGATGTACCTGGAATTTTCCAGGCAGATTAGTTCCCCCCAGTTACCTGTTGTCACCACTCTCCCTTGAGAGAGAGAAAACTCATGTAGGTCAGGGTTTAGCAGTGTGCCTTAGCTTACCGGGTTGGATCTACGAAGTTCAAGCTGGTCCAGCTGGGCCTATCTTGGGTCTGGCTGCTGTGCTTGGTTTCTTCCTGCTGGGCACATTGCTGTGGACTTCCTCTCTGGCTAGTCCCAAACCAAATCAGCTGCTCTTCTGTGGAGATCCTCTGGGTATTCCCAAAACAACCCTGGTGCTATGGTGTGAAGTTTCTCTTCAGCTGGTCCCAAACC